TCTGAGTGATTGTAAACTATGTCCAGCTGGCTTCCATTGTCCAAGTGTTGGAATGGAAGCACCAGAAGAATGTGCTAATGGAACATACAATAATGTAACTGGTGCCCGATATTGTATTTTGTGTCCAGAGGGTCATAGGTGAGGTTATTGCAGTTATCAATCCATGCATCAATCCATGCGTTGATCTGGTCATTCATATTTATCCCTTGGATGCAACCGACATCTACAGTTCACAGACGCTTCTAACTGTATACTGGCCTCATCACCTGTTCTTCATTCTCATCGATAGAGATGCACTGATTGACACACAGATGAAGTTACAGTCTGGTCTAAAAACCCAACATCCATGCATTTCTTTGTTATGCTTTGCATTTCAACTCCGTAGCACTTCTACTTATCACTCAATATTTTGACTTCATATTGCACTTATATTAGTTGATGATATAATATAATGGTAGATGTTTTAACAGTTTATCAATCTGATATCTACACCAATCAATCATATCATCTAGTCCAGAGAAGCCCCTGCTGGCTCTTTATCATCAGATTCCCCCATAGTTCATTCATGGGAAGTTCATATCATGTTGTGCTTTCATTCATGCGCACATTCATTCAATCATCTGGTTGGTAGCAGGACCTGCTGGAGATGTCTATCTTCACAAGTCTATTCCTGCTAACACGCTTAATACTCAACCATACATCCAGTGCTGGGATATGTTTTTTAATTTGTCTCTTCAAACTTTTCAAACATTTCAAACATTTTTTATACTTACCTGAACACAGTGAGTAGAAGATGAAACGGACTTTAAAGTTTAATATTTAAATTCAAAATAGTTTAGTTCGTGTTATATATTGAATTTGTACTTACTCGGAAACCAAATTTTTGATTTGTAGTATTTTAGTTCTTGCAGGTTATTCATTGAATCTGTAATGTTGGGGTAATTAGCCCAACTCCTCTCTTTCCTCTACTTTTCTCCATATGCTTTTTCCTTGTGGTTTTAGTTGTCCAAATAAAACAGCTCATGTGGAATGTTCAGCTGGTTCATATGCTGCAGCAGGGAGCATTGAATGTCAACCTTGTCCCAAAGGAGCTTCATGTCCAACCAAAGGACTTTCTACATATTTTCTATGCTCTAATGGAACTTACTCAGATGTTC